TTTTTGATTTAATTATAAAATAATAATTAACAGATTTATGAACGATTGTGTTATGTGTAAAATACATCTTTTAGTGAAATACAATGGGAAAAACAGAATCTTTTGCAAAAAGGTTGTTTTCTTGTTCTATGTTATTGACAATCTGAATAAATGCTGTTCGAATATTGGGACTATTCTCGCGAGAGGAGCTATGTCACAGAATGTTCTATGTTACAAAGAAGTGCACCACTGTACCATGTATTTCTATGGGCTCTGCACGAGCTGGTGTGGAACACCGATTGAAGAACCAGTTAAAAAAGCTACAGTCAAAAAAACAGCCCAATCTCAATTTTGAGGTAATCCAGAGCAACCACAATTATTTAATATGTTCCTCATGTAGGGTAGTCTTAATTTGTTTTAACCGTGATGGTTGTCGGGTGGTGAAAATATTAATATGAATATTTCATATGTGTCAATATATGTGTTCATATATGTATTGATGCATTTTTTTATATTTATTCGATTGTTCAAACTTAGAGCTTCAATAACCTTGCTGTATTATGGATTGACATTCAACGTTGGAAATCTGGGTGGTAATGATTACACCAATGCGCTCATAGCTGGCGCTGTCGAGATTCTAGCCTATTCCTCTTCAATGTATTTTGTGGAGACACAACTTGGCAGAAAAATCACCATAAGTGTTTTAACTGTTATAGCAATTATAGCAACGATATCGAGTGCATTTATACCGCAATGTAAGTATACTAGTACTTGATACACCACACAAGAATCAACATTACGAGGATACCTCAAAGTATGCACGAAGACAGTACAGCGGCAGTATTGACAGACGACATACTATCTGAGTGCATACTTTGAGGTATTCTCGTAATAACCTTATTATTATACATCTTTTGCTTCCAAAGATACATCATGGGAGTGACGAAATCCAAAAAAATTTAGAGCACAATCAATGAACTTTTTTGTTTGGAGTCCGGTCAAACCCTGGTGGCAGCCATGTTTTGTTTTATAATTAGAGGACACTTTTGAGCGTAATCATTCCATATTAGGAATTCGCATTTCCTAATATGGTAGGATGAAATACCCTGTAAAATACTGCAAAATTACGGCACGCTGTAACTTGTGGCGTTACAATGACAGATGTATAATAATATCTTTTACCACACCATTTAATTATGTTTAGCTTTTTTGTCATCCAGCGAATGTAGTTATATTATTGATTGTCTTCCTCATCATCTGTTCTAAAAAATCTACTAAATATCTTCTAGTATCACACACGCTTTTCCGTTTCATGGAATGATTGTGTTTAGTCTTGAATCAGATTGGTTTCATACTTTGTACCCACTAGGTGGGGACACATTATGGGTAATGGTTGCTGTGTACATGATTGGAAAGTATGCAACAAGTGCAGCGTATGGAGTCACTCAGTTATACACAGGAGAAATTTTTCCAACAACACTAAGGTAGAGAAGAATCACGTTTACATTTTAAGGGAAATAAAAAATCATAATGTTACATAATTATAAGTGATTGAAGAGCCTATTCAGTATATAAGTAATAAATAATATCAAAATAAAAAAAAATAAATGTATATCTGGTTGATTGCAACAGGAAACTTGAGGAACATTATTGGATTTCTTTAAAGGAGCATGTATGTGGAGTGCAAAATGTGATTAGTTAACTTGACAGCGGTATCTTTTGATGGCACAATGCATACTGGGCTGATTTTAAATATGAACAACACACATGCTGTTTTGTTTTGTGATTTGATTGAAAATATTTAACTTGTTTACAATGTATTTGTGGATCATATATTTTTGTACAATATGAAAATTATCTAATTCTATTCACTTTGAGCCTGGATAAGGTGCCAATTGAAATAACCTTGTACATATATTGTTAACATGCTTAATACTTTGTACAT